TTCCAATATGCGTTTTTGCTGCCTGTTGCAGCGCTCTAGCGCTGCACGGCAAAAACGCATAATCACTGACATGAATTACCCTTACTGATGCCAAGGATATGACGAATAAAACATATAGACTTTCTTAGTGATATCCACCTAAATCAGTGGGTATTTTGCTGTTCTCCACTTAAATCAGCACAGCGGGTTTCATTTTGTATACTATAGTGTTGAACATAAAGTGAAAAAATGATCCTCATCTTTCATAAGATTGACGACGATGTTGGTCTTCAGAAGCCCGCTGAGAATCATGTGAGTGAGAGAAGCCCAAAGTAGAGAAGAATGAAAAAGTTGCTAGCTGTATTAGCACTTTTAGCGACTACCAGCCAAGTTCCCCCTATGGCTGGCAATGGTGTATGCTCTAGCACTGGCCGTGAGTCCCGACAGAAGTTCTCTATATTAGTGGAGAGAAGAAATGCGACGATGAAACAATAGCTGATCAAACTCAAAAAGAATAAGTATTTCAGAAAAACCACGAATGTTCATTTTTCAATTCCTCGTTTTTCAATTCCTCAAAGAAGCGTTGGCTTCTGGATCACGCCAATATATCAGTTTAAATAAATGTCATCTGGTTTAGTAGATGCTGGAACAACGGGTAAAGCACAAACAATGCCCGAAGGTGTGAAACATGGAGGAAAGGTGTAAAGATCAGCTCCCGCTGAAACATCGCTTAGGTTGTAAGGCATCACTTCGGCATGTTTGTTTTGTTGACTTTTCCCTTCAGATCGCTTATCAATCTTTTCAATTCTTAAAAAAAATTTCTGCAACTTTTTTTTATGAGTCCCATGTGTGTATGTTTGCGATCCGATCCATTCGGCTGGATGCCCAGTTTCGGAAATACGGAAACTAGGATGCTGAACTCTGGAGCAAACTTTATTTTTAAAATAAAGTATGAAAGCAGCAATCAGCTTGCTTGTAAGCAACCTTTAAAAGAGAGAGTCATCGACAGGCTTGTCAGGAGTGATTGCTGCTGACGCTTATTACTTTTCGAGATATTTCCGATTGCTTTTGCCTCTTACAGAGTATGAATACGGAAAGACTTTTGAATTCTGACTTCGAATAATTTTTTATTTATTATCACATCGGTATGTTCGTCTGTGTAACAACACTAACATGAAATACCTACACTGATTGCCTATGTGATTTTTGCACTATTATATTCTTATTATTTACTCTGCCAATAAAAAAAAGAATTTGAAAAATAGTTGTTTTTATTGTAAAATTCGCAAAAGTTCATTTTAAATTAAAATGAATCTGAACGCCTTGTCTTTTGCAAAGTTTAGCTTTAAATTGTAACAAATTTCCAAGTGTTAATGTTGCTGCTGCATTCAAACTGAAGAGGTGTATTATTTTTAAACTGAACTAGTGAAATTTTATCTATTTTATCAAATCAGTGCACACGGCACAAATTTAAGCCTTCGTCAAGCTATTGAAAATGGCTTACTAATATATCTAAATGTATGTTTTGTCATCCTGCTTTGTATACCTCATTTAACTTCTTGTTAAGCAATGCTTTTATCCGGGAATATTTTTTCGAAGACCGGAATTTTTGAAAAATAGGCTGTAATTGTTGCAGCACTTCCCATATTTTTTCTGAAGGAAATTAGCAAGTGTTACTTTTTTACGAGTGTGCATTGGAAAGTGAGTTGGCTATTTCCTTATGTAAATCAATGGTCTAGCTTTCACTGACTTCTCAGATAGTTAAAAACTTTTTGGACAAAGTATAGTTTGAGCAAAATCTTAGAATTTTTTGGCGGCAGAAAATTTTTGATGAATTTCGTTTTACTGCTTTCAAAAACGCATTTCTTTGATGAAAAATTACCAAAAAAATAAAAATAAAAGTTTTAGTTTGCTAATAACACTAAAAATTTAACTTTTTTTCCGCAAATAATAAAACTTTTTTCGGCAAATGATTTTTTTATGATTTTTCACCTCACTGATGCTGTCTCTGGCTGCATCATTTCCTTATCACCAGAGGGTACTCTGATGTTTCTGTGGTTGTAGACCCACAACCTCTGCTAAATTCCACCGCGATATCATTTGGCTGTGAATGGTATGTTACAGATCCAGATGCTACCTCAACTAGTATTGCTCCTGCTGTCGGGTGTTGCCACGCATGTCAAAGCCACTTGCAAGGCGCCCAATGGTACAGAAACTCAATTAGCCTGGAAACCATGCTCAAATGGTCCTATCTTCTACCACAACATTTCCCTTCCCGACTACGAAGGTACGTTTTCATGAGTTTTTGCACTTATACAAATAATGGACGCGAC